GAAGTACCAGAGGGATGGACGAGTCTGAAGTTTAGGAGACAGATGTGGGCTGGAGGTAAAATTTGGGATATGGTTTGAAACATGTTTAAAATACCCATGAGCTCTCACGTAATACTGGTAGGAGTCTACTTTGGTATACTCTTTTTGGAGGTCAATTTGGCAAAATCTCAAATATTAAAATGTACAAACCCTTTGGCCAGGCAATTCTATGACATTCTACAGAAACTGTTGCTATGCAAAGTATGCACAAATATGGACAAAGTGTCTCATTAAATCACTATTTGTAGTAGCAAAACAAACAAAAAAACCAAGGTGAAGTTCACTGGCAGGGATCTAGTTAAATCAATAATGATGCTTCCATACAAAGGGCTCCCCTGCAGCTGGAGCCCTGGTGGCACAGTGGTTAAGAGCTTGGCTGCTAACCAAAAGGTCAGCAGTTCTAATCTCCCAGCTGCTCCTTGGAAACCCTATGGGGCAGTTCTACTGTGTCCTATAGGGTGGCTATGAGTCAGAATCAATTTGATGGCAAGTTAAGTAAGCAGATTTTTTAAAAAAATAAAGTAAGCAGTTGTGGTGCAGTTGATTATTTTTGTGCGTAGCCTCTCTAGGCATGGCCTTGTAACTCCCTCCCACCCAGGTGACTAGGTGGGACTGTGTGGTAGGGTAACTGTGGCCCACCAAGGGGACTGTCAGTTGTGCCTTAACAGAGAGCCAATTGCAGAGCAGAGAGGAGGATCCTGCCATCACCAAGGAAGAATAGCCAGGAGCAGAGAATGCGTCCTTTGGACCTGGGATCCTTGCTCTGAGAAGCTCCTGGAAGCAGGAGACTGAGAGAGAGAGAGAACTGAGTGACTTTGGGGAGAGGCCGAGGGCCTGATGGAAGAGCTGTACCCTGAGTGTTCCTGAGCCTGAACTGTAACTGTTACTTCCCTAGTAAACCCCATAATCGTGAGTATGGTCTGTGAGTTGTGTGGCCATTGCAATGAATTATTGAACCCAGCAGAGAAGCAGAGAGTGCTGTGTGAGGGACCATTGGTGTCAGAATCGGTAAAGATGTCAAAGAGAGGAGGCTTGTCTGAACCCTGCCTCAGAGGAATCAGCCTTGAGTTGTTGATCTTGAGTCTCCTTCCCCTTGTGAAGTTAGACGAGGGCAGACACCACACCCGAGCCATTTTTACAGCAGTCTTCCTGTCAGTTCCTGTAGAAACAACTCCAAAACTTAAGTGAAAAAATAAAAATAGAAAAGTAAATGGCATGGGAAGGCAGAGAGGGTTAGGAGCCGGTTGAATGGTCCATGGGGAATCAGGGGTGGAAAGGAGGAGTGTGCTGTCACAGTATGGGGACAGCAATTAGGGTCACACAACAATGTATGTATCAATTTTTGTATGGGAGACTAACTTGAAATGTAAACTTCACTTAAACTATAAAAATAAACAAACAAAAAGCAAATGGCAGGGCAGTATGTATAACATGATGACGTCACGTATGGTGCGTGTGTGTGTGTGTGTGTGTGTGTGTGTGTGTGTGTGTGTTTGTGTCTGTAAAGGACTTTAGAGGTCTGTGTTTGTACAGGCAGAAAAAAATAGCTGGCAAAATACAGAAATAATCTAGGGAAAAGGACAGGGAGGATGGCGCTAACCTTCTACTCTTTGTGTACTATTTGTTTTTTGTTTTTTTTTATCTCGGTGATGTATAACTTGTTAAGTTTGAAAAAAAAAAAAAAGGATCAAAAATGTGTGTGGGAACCAGAGACAAACAACCAAACTTCTGACCTGCAGAACAGGTTACAAAATGGTCAGCTCAAGAAATTCTCTGTGGGCCGAGGAAATCCCTGCGGAAGGGGGCTGCAGGGGGCCCCAAAGGGGACCTGAACCCTTTGTTGCTGGTGCAGCATTTGAGCCATTCCTTCATTTATTCACACTGGAAACACACAAACTGACTGCAGGGCAGGCAGGAGCAGGGGTGAAGCCAGTCCGTTCATCAGGCAGAGAGTTTCCTGCAGCAGAAGAGGCAAATAAGGGTGGAGGTGGGGGAAGCAGAGAGGAAAGGGGAAGAGAGGGTGTCAGCAGGCAGGGACAGGCAGCAGCGCCTGAGAATACCAGGACTAAGGAGTGCCGCTGGAAACCCTGGCCGGCACAATATCCCTTGAGCGGGGACTGAAGCCAGGGGGAGGGAGGAATCGTGGAAAGAGGGGAGCCCTCTCCCAGGCCAGGTCAGACTCTGCATGCCTTTCCCTGAGTCCGTCTGGAGGCAGAATGGAGAGGCCAGAAGCGCCAGGCAAGACGAAATAATGCAGTCATCAATCTTTCATACGGAGAGGAAGTAAGGCGACATAAAGAAATAAGAGTGGTTTAAACTTAGAAAAATCAGAGTACATATTAAGGTAACCACAAAGGAAACTAACAATCCTATGCATCAAAATAAAAAACAAGAAAAACATAAAGACTCAGCAAATAAATATCAACAACAATGAAAAAAAATACATAAAGAGTAACGACTGCACAGAAAATTAAGCGGAACAAAGAAACTGTCAACTCCACAAAAGGGCTGGGCAAGAATCCATTGTTCTGTCCTTCCCTGGGGTAGAAAGGAGGGTAGGGAGCCTCCACAGGTGGAATTACTCCTGATGAGGTAATCGATTTGGCAGGCCCCCCCCTAATATTCACAGGGCCCAAAGCAATGGAGGCCCCCAGACGGCCTCACTTCTCTTCCCACCCACAGCTCCTTCCTGCACCACCAGGGGCCTCACATACGTGTAGACAATTGGACAAACCAGCCCACGTGTCCAAGCTTCCTCCATACAGCCCCACCAAAGCCACCCCTTGCTGCGCACATCAGTCAGCCCTGGCAGCAGGGACTGGGGAGGGAAGACGCCTGCATAGGCCCTGGAAATGGGCTCAGAACGTTTGGGCAAGTAATCTTAGAGTCCCAGGTACCTGGACAGAAGCTGTGGGCACATCACCTTGGTCCTGTGGCCTCCTAACTGTGGGGAAGGATGCAGCTGGAGGAGGGTGAGAGCAGGGCCCTCTAAGTACACAGTCCAGGGCAGGGGCACTGGCCTGCAAGCTCTAAGGGCTGGAAAGGTAGTGGAAAGTATAGATAAAGGGGCTAGGCCTAACCAAGAGAAGTGGAAGTGGCCCAGGTCTGTGGGCAAGCATCTGGAGCTCATCTCAGGAAGTGGGTTTTAGGCTGTAAGGAAAGGAAACTCACTGCGGAGTAGCAAGTAACTAGTCGTGTCACGTGTGAGCAGGAGCCATGGTGTGCTAATGACGACAGTCGATGTGATGACAAGAAGCTGCTGCCCTGGATACATGGTCCTCTTCCCCATCTCTGTAAACCTGGTTGCACACACCCGATATGTGGGAGTCATCTGTGGTCTGTCTTTTTCTCACCTCCCATCATCCACCAGCAAGTCTTGCCAATTCTGCCTTTCACATCTGTCTCTAAGCCACTTCTCTCACCCTAATCAAAGCAACCTTCATCTCTTTCCTAACTACTACAATTGATCTCCCTGATGCCCCTCGTCTCCCTCCAGTCTATTCTCTCACTGCAACCAAAGCGATCTTAGTAGAAGATCTGCCCATGGCACTCAGCTTAAGATCCTTGATGGTCCTCCTACCTTCCTCAGAATAAAGTTCAAGTTCCCTAATGTGGCCTGCCAAGCCATTTATAGTCTAGCTCTTGCCTACCAGTCTCATTTCCTCCCCCTCAAGCCCATCCTGAATTTCTCCCAGTTCCTCCCATACGCAGTGCTGTCTCACAGCTTTTGTACACCCAGGTCCCTCTGCATGGAGTACCCCTTCTCCTCCTCTCCAAGCTTACTTGTACTCCTCCACCTCTTTTTTTTAATTAAAAAAAAAAAAAAAGGTATACTTTACATACAGTAAAATTGACCCTTTCTACAGTCATTTAACCACCACCACAACCAAGATGTAGGGCAGTTCCATCATCCCAAGAAATTTTCTCATGCCCTTTGTGGCCAACTCTATCCCCCATCCCCAGCTCCTGGCAACCACTGATCATTTCACTTGGGAAATACCTAGGCGTGGGATTGCTGGATGTGCACAGAGAACAGAGAAAGCAAGGGAAGACAGTGTGCCAGTAGGAAGGAATGGGCAGCAGCAGCTGATCCTGCTGAGACGGTGAGGAATAGGAGGACTAAGGAGCGGCTATTCTTTAGGACTGGAGAGTTGCTGTAGACCTGGGCCTGGACAGTGTCCACTGAGCTGTCAGCAGTGTCCACTGTGCAGACAGCAATTTCACTTCTACATATTTTCCCAAGAAGTCTCCTCTCATCCAACAGACTGAGTTCCTGTCCTTTGTAGATCCATAATGCCCAACACTTATCTTCATCTTAGACTTAACCCCTTGTTTTACTGTTCCCTCCGTTACTGCCCCCTCCCCGACCACAACCCTGATCTCTTACTCCAGTCTCTCTCCCTTTCTCTCTCTCTCTCTCTCTCACACACACACACAGACACAGACACAGACACACACACACACAGACACACACACACACACACAGACACACACACACACACACAGACACACACACACAGACACACACACACACACACACACACACACACACACACACACACACACACACACACACACACGACTGTGAGCTCCCCAAGGGCAGAAGCAGCATCTTACTTCCCTTGATTATCTCCACCTCCCAGCGGACCTGAAACAATCTTTTTACAATCAATATTAAGTGAGTGAGTGAATAATTGCGGAACAAGTTAAAGAATAGACGGATGGGTGGAAGTGGATGGTTAGGAGCAAGGTTTTGCTCTTAGACTGGCTCCGCTGTGCCATTCACCCTCTTCCCCTTGGTGCGCCATACCAGTTAAGTTCACCCTAAAGAGGGCGGGGCTGATGAGGCCAAAGTCGATGACGTTCCCAACACCGACGACGCTCTCGAAGAGGGAGGCGAGGCGGAAGGGGCGGGACAGGAAGCGGAAGTGCGGCCCCGAGATAGTCGCGGCTCCGTTGCCATGGAGACCGAGAGCTCCAGAGAGCGGCGAGCTTCGGAGTCCGAGTCTTCCCTGTCCCGGAGGGCAACATGGGGGCCCACCACGAACCTGACCCGGTCCTGCAGCCCCAGCCAGTCCATCTGCAGGTCCTCGTTGCTATCCTCCTTCGCCTACACCGAGGGCTTCCAGCGCAGCGCCCGCGGCCGGCCCCGCCGCGTCCCGCCGCTCGAGGTCACTCGCGGAGCCGAGCCGCAGCTGCTGCGTCTGCGCCCCACCTCGCTCCGCACCCAAGACATCTCGTACCTGCTCACCGGCGTCTTCCGCAACCTGTACTCGGCCGAGGTGATCGGCGAGGACGTGGGCACCAGCCTCATCAAGGCTCGCGGCAGCGAGGATGAGCGCCACGAGCAGTTCGTGGACTCGCTGCAGCAGGTAACGCGGCCCCGGCTCCTGCCCGCGCCTTCGGGGACGCGATGGCGTCGGGTCTGCGGACCGTGCGGGGGGCCGGGTGCGCCTGCAGGAAGGCGGGCGCCGGCCGGACTCGGCGGTCCCACTCTTGTCTGCACCTGCCGGGTGCCACTGCAGGGAAGGGTTAACCGTACACACCGCTTGCAGTAAGCAAGGTACGCACGGGCTTAACTGTGTTTACTTACTGATCTATAATGCACAGTTTCACATGGGTTTCACCACGTCAAAGAGAAGCAGGTGACGTTGTGCACTACAAATCAGTAAGTAAGCACAGTTAAGCCCGTGCGCGCCTTGCTTATTGGGTAATGCGTCCCTGCCAGGCGCTGTGGCAAAGAGCCAACCAAAGCCATGTGCCAGAGAGCCGACGTTCTAGTGGGAGCACACTCTATCTGTCTATACACACACGTATGCAAATACACACATATGGCATATATCTGTTGCATCTATACACGGATACAAATACATATGGCATATATCTAGAGCATCTGTACACACGCGTACACAAATACATTCTACACACGTATGCCAATACACATACAACACACATATGGCATATATCTATAGCGTTTATTCACACGTATGCAAATACATATGGCATATATAGCATCTGTACACGTGTATACAAATACATACTACACACATATGGCATGTACCTGTAGCATCTATACACACACGTGTACAAATACATATGACACATATGTGGCTCATATCTGTAGCATCTACCTATTTCTCCATACGCACACACCTGATCTATTGCAATATTGCCTATATGTAAATACAGTGACTGGTCAGAGTGCTGAATAGCTGTTGTTCCCTTAAGCTGATAAAGCCAAAAGTCGCCCCCTTTTGGACTACCTTTGTATCACAAGTCACAAATTTGAGCGAGGCATTGATGCCCAGATTTTAGGAAGCATGCTCAGTGTCGGAAAGAGCAGTGTTCCTCATCTGTGCAAGAAGAAGACCAGTTGACTGGCCTCTCTGCTGGCTCTGACTCTGCTGACTAGACGCACAACTCCTTCCTCTTTGCCCTGGTGTTCCTCCTGCCTCTCAGACCTACCCCTGTGTTCTCTTTTGTCCCTGTACCTGCCCCGTAACTGGCATGTGCTTCCTCCCCAGCTTCAGCCATCCATTCATTCATGTAATGTATTTTATTGACTGTCTACTATGTGCCATGCTCTGTTCTGGGCAGTGGGGATTCAGCAGTGAACAATGCACAAAAACAAACCAACAAAAACTGTCCTCTGTACCTTCCAGTCTAGGTAGGATAGACAGACATTAACAGAATCACTGTCTATATTGTATGCAAAATAGTAATGTGGCAAGCCTCACCTCCTCTGAGGGTTATTACTACTTCTACCTGTTGCTGTCAAGTTAATTCTGACTCATAGCGACCCTGTAGGACAGAGTAGAACTGCCCCGTAGGGTTTCCAAGGAGCAGCTGGTGGATCCCAACTGCTTACCTTTTGGTTAGCAGCTGAGTTCTGAACCACTGTGCCACCAGGGCTCCCCATGGTTATAGGCTCCCTGAAATCTAGTCATGACCCCTGGATCAGACCCCGTGCTGTGTTCTTCCTTGTTCGCCGTCTTCACTGTGCTAAGACTTCAGCCAAGTCAGGCCAGACCTTGCCCTTGAACTTCTGACTCACATCGCTGCCATTCACAGGAGTCAAAATGGGCAGAGCATTGTAACCCTCATGACCAATCACCCAGTTTATTAATTTTTATCTCCTTAATATCTCCCCCGCTACTAGCCACTGCATCAGGGTCTGAACTGGCAAAGAGTGATCCTTCTTTAAAAATAAGAAAGAAAAAGCTTTGAACTTTTTTAAAATAAAAAAAACAATGATATTCATTGCAAAAATTTCCGAATCTGTAAAAGCTTAAAGAGTGGTCCTACAGAAATAATAGAACTATGCAAAGATATGTTGACTTTATAAATATGGTACATCTACATTATGGAATCCTCTGCAGCCGTTAAAAAGAATGAATTACACCTTTATTATAGACATAGACAGTCAACCTGCCGTTTATTAATTTAGCAAAAAGTAGAACAATGTTAAGGTAATTTCCTTTTTATAATAATATATGCATAAGAAAAAATCTGAAAAATTTCCTTTGCATACTTCTCGGTTGTCTGAACTTTTGCAGTGCACATGAATTCTGTAATTACAAAAAAGAAACTTTGCAAAGGGCAGGCGTCCCTTTTTCCCACCTCTGTGAAGCTGCTCTTCTCACGCTGCTGCTGCTCTCTCTCCTTTTCTGTGCCTTTCTGCTTCTCATCTATCTCTGGATGAGGTGGACTCTCCAGGGGCTGCATAGGATTGCCTCTGCAGCTCTGGAATTCCTTCTCCCTGAGAGAAGTGGTAGCCACCTTTCAATATGGAGTTTCTCTCTTAATCTGACTTGTCCCCAGGCAGTCCCTTGCTGCCAGACTTCCTTGTGTCAGCCTATGGAAATAGGTCTCATGATTAAGAGCAAATGTTCCGGAACCATACCCTCTGGGTTCGAATCCTGGCTCCTCCAAATACTACCTCTGTAATCTCGGGCAGTCCTTATTTCTGTATGCCTCACTTTCCTCATCAAAATTAGAGATAATATTTGCCCGTAGGTTGTTTTGAGGGTTAAATGAGTTAACACAGGAAAGCATTTATAACATTGAGCACCTGGCATCTAGCAAGCACTCACTAAGTGCTCCCTGGTGTTGTTACTGTTATCTTTATTTGGATAAGATGCTAATCCTTGCATTCAAGAATTGACATCAGGGGCAAGTGCCAGACCCAAATAAGAAGACGCATAACACAAAGCAAGGTACTTTATGTTTTAGGGACTGTCCTTGGCCACTGTCCCCTGAGGAGGGCCTTTCTTGACCCTAACAAGACTTAGCCTTCCTCATATCCTCGTTCATATTGCTATCATAGCACTTTTACAGCTCTGTTCCACTGACTTGTATCCTTCCCTGGTGCTTCCTGCTGAAATGTAAACTCCTTGAAAGCAGAGGTCATATCTGATTAATTTCTCTCCCCTAGTGTAGATCTTTATTAAAAGAATGCCGAAAACATTTTTGAGATCCTACCAGCTCTAGGAGTATAATAAGGAACGTTGTCCCCCTACAAAACTGTCTAACATTACCTGACCCAGGGAGCCCTCTGCCTCTTGCTTCCAGAAGTCTGAACTCAAAATACGGATCAGCTGCGTGGCTGGCTGGTCAGTCTGTAATCAGTGTGAAGGAGTGTGTTGGGCATCCAGGTTGAGCTGTCCGAAGCAGACACTGTGACAGGGTTTGGGGTGCAACTGTTTATTAGACGTCAGCCCCTGTGAAGAGCTGGAGGGGAGGCAGAATCGGGCAGTGGAGGAAGTCTACACGACACAGACCCCCAGCCCTCAGCCAGCCTGGTGGTTGCCATGGAGACAGTGTTGCCTGTCACGGTTTCTCTCGGGGCCACACTGGCCAGGCGTTTACACCCATGCCTCTCGGTCTGGTGATGCGGGGGTGTCCCTGGAAGGACGTGATCTCAGGCGAGCCCCTTCCTGCAGCTCAGGTCGACTCTGAAGGGGCTGACAGCCGAGGGCTGGCTGCACGCTCTGCAGCTGGGCAGCCCGTCCTTCCTCGAAGGGGGACCTGGGTGACACAGCCCCTTGTCTGCCGCAGGTGGTGTGATAGCTCGCATGTGGTATTTCAGAGTTTGGATAGCAGCCTCGTTACTGTAGAACCAGAGTCAGGAGACAGGGTTCCAGGCTTGGATCTGTTGCGACCTTACTGTGAAACCTGAAGTCATTTTCCCTCTGTGGGTCTCAGTTTTCACATCTGTTAGGTTGCCAGTTGGTCTCTGTAACTCTGTGATGGCTTCTCACTAACCCCTGCCCAGTCTCCCACGCCCCGTGGGAAGCTCTGGTGCTGGGGTGCGAACTCACCGTATTTCTCCGTGTCTGGTCATCCACCTGCCAGATTCGAGAACTCTACAGGCAGCGACTGGCTGAGGTTGACATGGTGGAAAGGCACATCATTCAGGCCCGCGCTCGGGCCATGGCGGAGGAAGAGCGGGCCACGCACCAGGCAGAAGCACAGACCCTCGAGGCCTTCAGCGTCATCAAATTGCCTCCAGGTGTGCATACAGAACTACCGACTCCTCAGCTGTTAATATTTTACTATATTTGCTCCATTGCGTGCTGTCTGGTATTTTTCTGAACACTTTTAGAGCAAGTTGTAGCCATGATGTCTCATCACCACAAAACGCTCCAGTGTGCGTGTCTTCAAACAGGGGTACTGTCCTACATAATCAGCATACAACTCTGCGTCCCATCCAGATTCCACTTCCTGTCACACACATATGACCCCCCCAAGTCAGGAAGTCGGCACTGCTACGCTGCGCGTCCCATTCAGATTCCACTTCCTGTCACACACATACAACCCCCCAAATCAGGAAATCAACACTGCTACACCACACATCCATCCAGATTCCACTTCCTGTCACATATAACCTTCCAAATCAGGAAATCAGCACTGTTACACCATGCGTCCCATTCAGATTCCACCCCCTGTCATGTATAACCTTCCAGATCAGGAAATCAGCACTAGTATGCCTCGCGTCCCATTCAGATTCCACCCCCTGTCATGTATAACCTTCCAGATCAGGAAATCAGCACTAGGATGCCTCGCGTCCCATTCAGATTCCACCCCCTGTCATGTATAACCTTCCAGATCAGGAAATCAGCACTAGGATGCCTCGCGTCCCATTCAGATTGCACTTCCTGTCACAACAGTCTCTTTTTTCTTTCTGGTCCAGGATCCTATCCAAGAATCATGTTGCATTTAGTTGTCACATCTCTTTTTTAGACTCCTTCGTTTGGAGTAATTCCTTGAACTTTTCCTCTCTTCCACGTTCTTGACAGTTCTTGACAGGCCTTTCATTCTGTAAGATGGTTCTGTCTGGTGTCCTTTTTCATGACGAGACTCAGGCCATGCATTCTTGACAGGAGCACCATGTCACATCAGGAGGCACAGGTGCTGTTAACCTTGACCACCTGGTCATGGTGGGGTCTGCCGTGGTTCTCCACAGTAAATTCACCATTTTTCCTCTATAATTGAGTAGTATTTCGTGGAGGGCTATTCTCAGATTACACCAGTAATCTATTTCTCACCAAAGCTTCACTGACCACTCTTTCTTGAATCAACCATTTCTATAATGATTGTAATAATTTCTTCTGTTTTTATCAGATGGCTTTTTATTCTCAGGGAGAGCTTTCTCTTCTTATCCATCCATCCCTCCCTCCCCCC